TCCTGCTGACTGGGCTTAGCGCCAGGACAGAGCCGGGTGCAGCTGAATCACCAAAGGACAGGGCACACAGAGCACATCCGGTTCTGAGGCCTACTGTCCTTACCACAGACAGGTATTTAGGCAAGATTTTAGACCCCCAACACTGCATCAAGCCCCACCTAGTAAAAGTTCTGAGAAGCACTTCCTTTGTCCTAGGACCCCTTGAGGGTTTCACCCCTAGGGCCCAGCCCTGGCCTCCCTGCCCACCCCAGCCCAGCACAGTCACGGGCCCGGTGGTCTGGGCCGTGCCGCCGAACCGCAGAAGACAAGGACAAAGGGCTGCGTGTGCCCAGCAGCTCCGCCTCCCTGGGGGGTCTGGCTCCAGCCTCATCTGGTGATGCCTTGGTGAACAGACACAGCATCCTCGGGGGCGGGGGTGGGGAGGCTGGCATGGGGAGTCCAGAGGACAGACGGAGCGGGGGCTGACGGGAGGTGCTGGCTGTGGTGTCCCTTCTCCAGAGGGGGAGGTGGGAACTGTCAGGGAGGGGCCGGCAGGCCTGTCATCTCAGCAGGCCCCCTGGGCGGCTCAGCAGGGCAAGCTCCAGCAGAGAGGGCCGTGTGGGAAGCTCGGGTTCAGCCTGTTTCCCTGGCAACCGGTCTCTTCCAAAGCCAAGGCTGGCGAGGATCCGTGTGGTGGGAGCCTGCAGATCTGCAGGGCAGCGGCTGTACCAGCCTGTGGGTGGGACGTGACTGGGAGGCGGGCCAGCGCACCGCCTCAGGTAGCGGAGGGACAGGCAGTGCCGGGGAGGCAGCGGCTGGGTTCCAGCAGGAGGCGGAGGCCTGCTCAGTCCAGCTGGGGGACTTTGCTGTAACGTCCCTCTTTATCCCGCTCAGGAGCGATCACAGAAGCTTCAGTGTTGGAATCGCAGACCTGGGGAGCTCTGTGGTTTCTTAGGCTTCCTCTCCCGGCACACGTTTCCCCCTGAGCAGCGTTATCTGGATTTACTGAGGAGAACAGCCTTACTTAGGGAGATTTCTGAATAGGCTTCCATTCCAAGGGAGGGCGAGGCTTGCCCAGAGCGGCTTCAGAGGCAGGGCTGGAGGAGGCTGGCCGTGAGGGCCGGCGGGAGCAGCAGCAGGAGAGGGGAGACCCTGGAGGCCACGAGCGCTGAGGGATTAAACACAGACGGTTAAGGCCTCCGAGTGCGGAGAGCCCTGTTTGTGGCCCGCTGGCACTCATGTGCAGGACTAGATGCAGAATACTTTTGGGCACTAAACTCACCTCGGGCTCCCTCTGGCTACCCTATTACAGTTTTTCTTTCTCCTGGTTTCTTTACATATTTATTTCTTTCACAATTATACTACATGTATATTTATGCAGTTGCCTGAATCCTCTTTGGGTGACTATTTTTTAGCATTTATAATCATTATCCAGGTCTGTCTGGGTTCCACAGCCAGTGTTTCAGACCCTCCCAGGACACTTCACCTTGATCGTCTGCAAAGACCCAGAGGGCCCTTCAGTTCACTTAAGGTTTTTGGTGAAAGGCTTAGAAAGATGCCCGGAGAGTATGCCCACTCTTCCTCTGTGGGGTGTGAACCCGCCTGTCCCGCCCTACCTGTGCCTGAGCACTGCTGAGACAGCATCCCTTCCAGAGCTGCCATGTAGTCGGGGCCTAGCCAGTCACGGTAAGTAGTTTTCTCTCCCACAGGTACTGCCCGGAGGGTGGCATCCTTGAAAAGCAGGTCTTGGCCATGATAGTTGGAGGAGTCGAACATTTTGAACCCATTCTTATTGTGGTCATCTCCAAAGAGGTCCTGGAAGCACACAGCAGACCTGCTTTGCATCTGGGCTCACAAAGGGTCACCCGGGTATCACTTGCCACAAACTGCTTTATACACCAAGCAGCAAGAAAAGTCAGGTGCCAAGACTCTGCTTTGAAATCATAAGCTTGACAACTCATTGACCTCTGTTACCAAAGCAGATTTGGAGGAAGAGATGACCATAGCCACCACAGTAAGACAGCCATTCAGAAACATCACACCAAACCAGCTCTTGGATACAGAACTGAAGCCTGAGCCTTACAGGCAGAAGGACCCAGAAATGAGAGATAATGTAGTTGAGATTACCGAGGGGTTTGCTAAACCTGCTCAGCACTCCTCAACCTCTTCCACCAGGCTTCCTCACTCTATCTTATGGGTGTCCTTTTCCCCAAACCCAAATGATTTCATAAGAGAGCCTTTTGTTCTGTCACTAGTACTAAGAAGGCACTGGGTGAGTTGAATATCCTTTACTAAGCCACCCTCCTAGCACCCAAGAGATTCTTGCAGCAGCTGTTGTCTTCCCTTGCTGAGGGTCCTCGGGGTGAGTGTGCTATGGCTCCCGCCCTGAGAGAGTCACTAAAGAGGCCAGAAGGGATGTGAGAAATTATGAATACATGCAGGACGTCAGGAGAACATGGACGAATGCTTATGTCAGCTTTTAAATACCAATCAAGGGGGAAAGAAAGAGTAAGGTGATTATTGGTCTTTCTGGGGGGACTCAAGGATCCTCTTGAGGATCTGATGAAAGTTCTCAGCCTTCTCCCCAGAAAAGGGCACATCTACACAGGGCTCTTCCCCCACATCACTTCAGAGGGTTTGGGGACCTGTGGGGAAGCCCAGGGACCCAGAGTCAAGAACTCCTGGGACAGAGGGACTCTGTGGGGAAGATGAGAGCAAACATCATTTCAAAGGTTACGAACTGGCCTGGAGAGCCAGCTGGCTCTGCGAGTCTGTGGCGCTTGTGGGGGGAGGGAAAGGAGGTCAGTTTCAGCCTATGTCAGGTCGGGGGTGCGTAGAGGGGGAGGTTGGGAACCAGGGGCCCTGCAGTCAGCCTGGGTTCGAATTTTAGGTGTGTTTTAGGTATTTGTTTTTAGGCCAGTAGGATTTGCTGATGCACTGGAAGTAGAGTGTGAGAGGAAGACAGGAGTCTGAGCTGACCCCTGAGGAGATGGAAAGGCTGAAGCTGCTATTCACTGAAGTGGGGAAGACGGAGGGGAAAAGCGGAGTCCAACTTTGATTTGTTCAGCTCAAGATGCCTGTTAGAAATTGAAATGTCAAGTAGGTAGTTGTTAAAGATGCAAGTTTGAGATTAAAGGGTGGGACTGAAGCAGGGCTGAGGATGTACACTTAGGAGTCATCAGTATATAGACTGTAGCTAATGACCCGTGGCTGGACGAGATCGATATGGGTGCAGGTGCCGACAGAGAAGAGGGCTTAGGATTGAACCCTGGGGCACTCCGGTGGTTACCAGCCAGGGAAACGAGGAAGAACCAGCAAAGGAGACGGGAAGGAGAGGCCAGAGAGGTAGGAGGAGAGCCAGGCAAGCGTGGGGCCCTGGGAACCAAGCGGCGGAACTGCGTCCAGGAAGGAGGTGAACTTCAGGAAGAGGGAGCTGCAGCCAATGCTGCTGAGAGGTCAGGGAGAGGCAGACTGAGAAACAGCCGCTCTGTTCAGCAACATGGGTCACTGCGACCTTGACCAAGGCAGTTTCAGGGCCCTGGTGGGGCCTCTCCAGAGTAGTCTCCATCCTTAAGAGAGACCAGGAGAGGAGGAATTGATGACTCCAGAGTAGAGATGGCTCTTTGAAGGAGTTTTGCTGTAAAAGGGAGTGGGATTACGGCTACAAGGGGATGTGAGGCCAAAAGAGGGTTCATTTGTTTTTACGAGATGGTAGAAATAACAGCAGGTTTGTATGTTGGTGAGAATGGTCCGGCTGAGAAGGGAAAATTAATGATGTAGGTGACAGAGGGCACAGTGGCTGGAGGGATGGCTTCGGCTAAGTGAAAATCACAGAATTCCCCTCAGGCTTCCTCAGTTTCTCCTGAAGTCTGCTCCAGGTAGACTGAGGCGACCCGGGGGCTTGGCTCCCCTCTGTCACCCTCCTCCCAGTGAGGCAGCCCCTGCCCTGGCTCACCTGGGCCTTGTCCAGCAGTCCATACACAGTGAAGATGTTGGTGTCCGGCCGGACCATGACAGCATGGGACGGTATCTGTGCCAGGTTGCAGGCTGCGAACTGGGTCACCTCGGCCCGGGCGCCATTGGGACACAGCAGCTCGTAGTCCTCTGACATGAGCTCAGCAGCCCAGGGCTCAGAATTGTGACCTGAGGGGGATCCCCAAATCCTTGGCTGGGGAGGGGCGGTGATACCTGGCCAGCTCCCCAGCCCTCTCCATTCTTCAGTTGCTCTGCTCTATTACCAGGGTGAGAGAACCCAGCTGGGCTAATAAGGTTATTTGTAGGGAATAGGAAGTATGCACTATGTAACTCTGCACTGTATGATCACTCCCATTTTACAGGTGGAGAAACAGAGGCTCTTAATCACTCCCCGGCAAAGAACTCCATCTGTGTGTTCCAGGGCTCAGGGTGGGACGGGTGAAGTTCTCAAGCCCGAGGAGGTATAACATCAAGTATGGATCTGTAAGATGCAGTTTCAAAGGCCCCTCCTTGCAAAGAATCTCATCAGGTGGGTCTAGAATGGGTACCAGGAATCTGCATTTTAAACTAGCAACCCAGTAATTCTGATGCAGGTGGTTGGTCCGAAGGCTTCCTGACAAACACTACTCTCAGGAATCACATTATTTTTATGTCTTCCTGTATTTCCAGGAGGAACTCCAGGTGGGCTCACGAGCAGAGATAAAAGAATTTGAGTGGCCCTGGGAGGCGGTCGCCTCACTGCAGGGCCTCCTCCCCGGCCCTCAGCCCAGGACCACAGAGGGCACAGGCTGGGACCAGGCAGCGCTCACAGCTCCTGCAGGAGCACGCAGTTCCCTCCTTCTCGGGAATGATCCCCAGTGTTCTTGGTGGGAGGTTGGCAGGGGAGCAGGGGTATGGCAACAGGTCCTGGAACCCTTCTAGCTCTGTTGGGGCAACTGGTCTACAGCTTAGTGACTTTCATAGGCAGGGTGGGATCTGAGTTTTGAAATACTGACTGATGTTTTTTTCCCTGTGTGTCTTGCTTTCCCTTCGTCAATGTCCTCCTCCCCTTCGGGCCTTCTGTCTTTGTGCCCTGAGTTCCCGGGAAGAGATGTGTTAGGACAGAGTGGAGAAGACTTAACCTCCAGTGTTTGGGGTTTCAAAGCCTGGGGTGTAGGCAGGGTATATAGAAAATGCAAACAATAAAGTGTTGAAGGGAAACAGCTTTCAGTCTTCAAAATGGATAGATTCCCCGAGGAGGGAGAACAGGATGGGGCAGGGGAGTGATGCATGGTCAAGGGCCTGCACCCCGATAGGACCTCAGGTGGGGGCTTAGGGGTCCTGGAGGAGTTCCTGGGCTCTTCTTCCCGGGTGGAGCCCAGGAAGGTGACTCCAGAGAAAAAAACCACCTGTATGATGTGAATGGGGGTGTGCCCTGCCTCACACGGCTTGGGGGCTGCAGAGTGATTTCCCTGTGCTTGGCATTGACCTGCTCAGGACCAAACACCAGATGCTGATGTGAACTGATAACCCTGGGGAGAGAGGCCCCTGCCACCTCTACCCACACACCTGGGTGCCACATAAACACCCCAGAAGGGGTTCTCTCCAAATTGATTGGGTTTCTACCATTTCAGTGGAATGGGGATTTAGATTCCAGACAAATAAAGACTGTCATGTGACCTGTGCATTTGGATACGTGGCCTGAGGTCTGTTCTTACCAATCGGCCTTTGGGGCTCCTGGGATCCCCAAGGGGCAGAGCCTTCTAGACTCAGTCTTTCCTGGCTGCCACTTGGCCCACAGTCCCAGCACCATCTAGCGCCTGGATTCTGCTGGAGATGGGGAACAGCCCCGCCAGAATCTGGCCCTGCCGTGTCCCAGCACCATCACATACCATTCGTGTTGTCGAAGACAGTCGTGTGCTTAACGAAGGCAACGTCCCCTGCATTCTCAACCAGGCACCTACCACACAAGAAGCCAAGACAGGTGTCGGTAGAAGGTCCCACCCCTGTGCCTGGCCTCAGGACCACCTCCCCACACCCCTCCCAGCCCGCCAGGTACCTGAAGGCGCCACTGTAGCCGTAGTACCTCTCCTGGCTGTTTCCCACACACTTGTTGTGGCCTTGCTCGTCTCCCACGCAGAGTGCGCACAGCGAGGATGGGTAGTGCTTGGGGTTGTTCACGGGCACGCAGCTGGCGCTGAAGAACTCACTCACCGCTGGGGTAGAGGGGAAGGGCTGTGCTGAGGGGCTGGCAGCAGAAAGGGTGGCCAGCGGGGAGATGGGTGGGCTGCTCCCCGCACAGATCTGCCCACTGGCCCGCCCCATGGCTCAAGGCCACCCGTCCGCTCCAGTGCCCACCCAGCTCAGAGTGGCGTGTCTCCTCCTGTGAGGATCACAGGGACGGGGGCATTGCAGACGTTGTCTAGGTACAGGAACCCCCAGTGACAACCTCTGGTAAGTGGCCGCCCAGCCTTCCCTTGAACTCCCTCAGGGATGGGGAACTCGCTACCTCATAAACTCTTCTGTTCCAGTCAGAGCAACCGCCCAGCTGTCTAGGAGTGGGAACAGCCAGTTCTAACACCTTACATGTGCTTGTGTGGGTGGTTAGAAAAAAATGTGTGTTTTTCCCCCGAGGTGCCAGCCAGGACAGAGGTGTGTGTGCAGCCAGCTTCCTCCTGCCTTCCCTTCACCAGGAATGTGCATGATTTAACACCCAGGGAGGGCCCTGCGTATGGCATATGGTGGGTGCCTGGTGAACGTGTCTTCTTCAGCACTTATACAGATGGCTGGCCACTTTCCAACAAGGTCCCCCAGATGCCCAGGGGGACAGCCCATGACTGGACGGTGGTACAGCCAGGCCCAGGGCCAATGCACTCGCCCTCCCCCCCATGCCCATTGGAACTATTCCACTCTGAGTGAGTAAGCGGGTAGGGGCACTGGCACCTTCAACAGAACCAGACACCACTGACTATCTCAAGTGTAGCCAAGAATATTCCCCAACCTTCCCAAGAGCAAGGGGCATGTCAAGGAGGAAGAGGACATCTCTCTGGGGCTGCCTTCTGTGGGGTCCTGCTGGGAGAGGACCCCAGCCCTCAGAGCTGGCCCTGACGCCAGCCAACCCCAAAGAAGAGCTTGCACATCTGTGTGTCTATAGAGGACGGTACCTGTGAGGACGTCGCAGTCCCTGGGCCGGATGAAGCCCCTCTGCACAAGGGCGCCCACGGGGATGTCCCAGCCTGCAGGGCTGCCGAAGCCTGGGTGGCAGGAGCGCTTGCCCCGCAGCTCGTCCAGGGTGAAGGCATAGGAGCTGTTCCGCTTCACCACGGCCACCGCAAAGTACGAGTTGCTTCTGTCCTCCGCTGGGGGAGGGGACACCAGTGAGGCCCCTCACCTAATGCTTAGTGGCCTCAGCTGAGCAAGAGTCAGGGCCGGATCCTGACGGGGCGCCTCTTCCCACAAACCCGTTTCCTCTTGCTGCTCCTGACCTCAGAGCAGTGGTCCTGGCCCCATACGCCTCTACCCGCTGGTACTAGGACCTGGCTGCCTGGGCTCAGGAGCGCCCAGGCCAAGGGCCGGGTGGGTGTTCAGGGAGCACATCCAGCAGCGGGACCCCTGCGTGTCCCCTCACTGCTGAGAAGCAGCCCGTGGGGCCCCACTTTTCAGAATTCTGTGCACCCTCCAACAGTCCTCACCCAGAGGAATTTGTTTCTTTCCTTACACTCAGGTGGTATTTTTCTCACCTCCTGGGAGAAAGGTGGGGGCATAGCTGAGGGTGCAGAAGTGCTTTCCCTAAGATGAGAGAGTTTTCACGTCCAAGTGGAGGACACCTGAGGTCACTAGACCTCAGCACAGAGCACCTGGGCCCTGGCCCAGGCCACTGAGAAGGTGTTCATAAGCCGACAGGAAGGAGGGTCCCAGGGCCACCTTCCGTGAGCCACACGGTCTTGATGGAAGAGGCCAAGGAGGCTTTCTAGTTCAGGGCTGGGCAAATTACTCAGCCTGTTTCTGTACAGCCTGAGTTGCAAGTTAAAAATAATTTTTATATTTTTAAAGGGTTGTTAAAAAGAAAAAAGAAGAAGAGGAACATGCAACAGAGTCTGTATGTGGCCTGCAGAGCCTGAAGTGTTTACTCTCTGACCCCTTACAGAAAGTTCTCCAAAGCCTGCCAGACTTCCAGTGACTGGCTGGGCACACTGTGCCCGGGGCCAGAGTGGCTTGCCTGTGATAGACAGCAACTGGCCTGGGGAGAAAGGCTCTGATGAGTCGTTTTTATAAATATAAAAATATCAACCAGCTCCCAGCCGAGGCCAGGTGGCTGGCACCTGCACTCACGGGCGTAGTGTTCCCCAGCTGCTGGAACCAGGCCGTACATCTTCCCCGCTGTGTAAATGTCCTGGCCCTTCAGGGTCACAGCGTCGATTTGCCCAGCCTGCAGGGGGACAGAAAGAGTGGCCAGGCTAGAGTGGGCCCCAGGACAGCTCTGGGTGTCGGGATCTGACAGAGGTGCCAAGGCTGGGTCTCTCAGGGACTTTGGCCTCAGGCTCGCTTCCCCTGGGAACACCATCTTGCCCTATCTGCCCCTTCCTCTCCTTGTGAAGATGGGCAGGCAAGAGAGGTGCTTGGAGGACCAGAGGCCTGAAACAAACCACCACCAGCATTCCCATTCATGGGTGTCTTTCAATCTTTCAGCAAGTGTTTTCTGAGGGTCTCCCGTTGCCAGGCCCTGTTCTGAGCAGAACCTAGCACAATGCCTGCTCTCATGCTCGGTGTGGGTCTCCCCACGGCTTGCTAGCCCCAGAGACCTGCAGCACTGTACTGCATCCCCAGCACCTGGCCAAGGGCCGGCACACAGCACGAATGCAATACATATTTCTCAAATGCGTATGTGAATGGATGAATGAGCCAGGTCTGAAAAGACGGCAGTCTCAGGGTCTGTGGGAGGAGGCTCCAGGGTTGAGGGATACAGCCCTGCCTCAGAAGCCAGCAGGAGGGGCCCAGGACCCTCCTCCCTCGGAAACCTCTAGAGCCCTCCAGGTCACCTGCACCCCACCCCGCGTGTCCATTCTGAAGTCTCCGGACAGGTGGCTCCTCAGACCCTGCCAAGAGGTTAACTGATAATCAAGCCATACCCCAAGGGAAGAAGCTGGGGCCCGGGGACAGAGGGGACACCTGCACCCCAGGAAGGTGCCCGATGCTGTTCAGGGCCAGAGGCATGAGGTTATGACGATGGAATAACGGGCAGTGGCATCGACATTTTGAGCCTGGAGGGTGCCTCTCTGGGGACCCCTTTTGCTCCCACCCAGACCTTCTCCACAGTGGTGTGGTGCCGGGGAGGAATCCAGACCCTAACCCACAGCCCAGGGGCTGGGCCAGCTGACCCTTCCTTGCCTGCATCACTGCGGTCAGGCGGGAAATGGGTGTTAGAGCTACACTGGACATCACCTCTGAGAACCTTAGAAGTTAGAACTGAGGATCTCTGAGCCTTTGGCTGGGGTTCTCAGGGACCCCCCCCCCAAATCTACTCCTCTCCCCACAGGCCCCTGCGCAGCCCCTTGGCCCTCTGTGAGCTCAGGTGGAGACAGCTGCATCTCCCTGCATCTCTCCCTGCTCTGGTGCCCCTGGAACAGCTGCTCCTCCACAGGACAGCCTGCCCAGGATTAGGAAAAGAGTCCCCACCGCTAAGTCACCCTTCCTTGATTCCCGCTGGGCTCCCCTCCCTCGGTGCCACATCCGGCTCCCATCAACCCCTGGGGATAGGGGCTCCCCCGCCCTTCAGCTGGGTGACCTGAGGCAAGTTACTTCCTCAGCCTCTCCCAGCCCCAGTCTCCACGTACGATAGTAATCATATCCACCCCACAGTGCCGCTGTGAGGATTAATTGAGGAAACCCACATGAAGGCTTAGCACAGTGCGAGGTACATAGGAAGTGCGTGCTTATGAGACTGTTAGTGTCACGATCCCGGGCCCCTGTCCTTCCTGCCCGCTCGCCTCTTCTCAAGCCATGTGCTGCCTGGCTGGGGCAGGGTGGACGCGCCTGAGGGGCTGTGACTTGGCCTGCACTGGGGGACCACCTTGAAAAGGGCTCCTCACCATCAGGCCCCACCTAGTAGCTCTTGAAAAGCAGGAGGAAGTGAGTCCAGGAACCTGGGGTGGAGAAGAGCCCTGTAGACTCTTCATCCCTGACCGCAGGGCCTCGGGCTCGCCTCCCGCTCCTGGTCTCAGTCTCCAGTCAGAGAAGCGAAGCAGGACAGAGCTGAATGGGCTTTCAGAGACACGGCCTGTGCTTTTAACTACAGGCGGCAGGCATGTTAACGAAGGCTTAGTCAATTTAATGGGCCATGATAGCTTAAAAAAAAAGACTAGGATAGACTACCCCAGAGACTATCAGTGCACATTGTACTTAGTAAAGGTAAGTACTGTTTGGCTTCATATCTCTCTATAGGGGATACATATTTTTACATGTTTATACCTGAAAGAACAGTTTTTGTGTACTAGACTGTGATTGATGGAAAATGTATTTCTGACTGGGTTGCAGTTTAATAAATGAAGAGCCAAGGCCACCCGTATTGTGCACAAGGGGAAACTGAGACTCAGAAAGGGGAAGGGGCTTGCCCAAGGCCACAGGGTCATGAGTGCCAAGCTGAGCCAGTCTCACGGTCCTTCTGCCCCTGCCCACTTGCTCACTGGGGGGGGAGCCCCCCTCTGCCCCGCCCCCCAGGTGGGGTGGCTGTTTCCTGCGGCCACTTCCTCTTCCCCCTTCTCTGTGGCGTTGTCACAGGAGACTTTCTTCTCCCCAGGCTGCCCTGTGTCCTCCAGACCAGGTGGGACAGAGGGAGAGCCGGGAAGGACCGACCATCCCACCCTCCCCGAGTGTTACAGCCCCCCCGGCAGCAGGGCTCGCCGAATCCCGGGGCTGAGGGAGCCAGACCCGTCGCCGGGCTCTCCCCGCTCCCGGCGCCCACCCCCGCGGGGGGCTCTCCCGCGAGGGGGCGTCCCCCGCGGGGGCGCGCCGGTGTCCGCCAGGGGGGGCCGGGCCGCCCCTCCCACGGCGCGACCGCTCTCCCACCCCGGCTCCGCCTCCAACCGGGTGGGTCGGGGCGGGGCGGACTGTCCCCAGTGCGCCCCGGGCGGGTCGCGCCGTCGGGCCCGGGGGGGGCTGAGGCCTCACATCTGGCCAGAGCACCGAGACCCTGTAAGCCACACGGCTCAGAAGAAAAGGGAGAGAAAAGAAATAACAATAAATAAAGAATATAAGTTAAAGTGATTAAGGTAGAAAAGAATTATTAAAGATAAAAATGTAATTAAAAAAAGGAAAGAGAGAAATAAAGAGGGCAACCAAACAAAAAAACAAGTCCACCAATGATAACAGGCACTAAAACTATACTAAAAAAAAAGGACAGTCAGATCCCTAAGACAAATGGCAAAAGCAAAGCTATACAATGTCACACAAAGAAGCATACACATACACACTCACAAAAAGAGAAAAAGGAAAATGTATATATATATTAAAAAATAAAAAAAGGAAGAGAGCAACCAGATCAATAAACAAATCTACCAATGATAATAAGCTCTAAATACTAAACTAAGGTAAACATAAACCAGAAACAAATTAGGTGCAGAAAGTAAACTCCAAGTGTACAGTTGTTCCCAAAGTCCACCGCCTCAATTTTGGGATGATTTGCTGTCTATTCAGGTATTCCACAAATGCAGGGTACATCAAGTTGATCGTGGAGATTTAATCCACTGCTCCCGAGGCTGCTTTTGGGAAGTCTGAGGTCTTCTGCCAACATTCAGTAGGTGTTCTGTAGGAGTTGTTCCACATGTAGATGTAGTTTTGTTGTATTTGTGGGGAGGAATGTGATTTCCATGTCTTACTCCTCTGCCATCTTGAAGCCATCCCCTTCCATTGTCTTTTTACTTTCGTTCCCCGCGGGGGCGCGCCAGTGTCCGCCAGTGGGGGGCCGGGCCGCCCCTCCCACGGCGCGACCGCTCTCCACGGCCCACCCACCTGGCCCGCTCTGCCCCCCTCGACACGGCTCCCACCTGGATCTGTTCCATGCAGTGCTGGGGGGACTCGGCGGACACACACTGGATCTCCGGCTTGAGCCTCTGCCGGCTGAAGGCCACAGCCATGTCTCCACACTTCTGGATCTCGGGCGTGGACAGCACACACCAGCGCAGGTAGTGGGGCAGCCCTGTGTGGGTGTGGGCGTGTGGTCACGCTGGCCTGCCTTGGGGCTGGCCCCCAGCAGGAGGAGCCTGGAGTCAGACCCAAGGGAAATTCTGGCTCTTCCCCTGGTAAGCTACAAGGGGTAAGTTATTTCACCATCTAATCCTGTTTCCTTACCCAGAAAGGGGACCACCGAACCTCTTTCAAGGGGCTGTGAGGACGCTTGAAGCAGATCATGGCTGTCGTGTATACAGCTCAGGCCTGGCATACCATCTCCCTGGCTGTAGGTGGTGGATACGCGGGGGCGGGGGATAGATGCAAAAGCCATTTGTAGACTACTTTAAGGGTCTAGGAGAGAGACAGTGCCAGAGCCAGGGCCGTGGCCATGTGGTGAGGGGGAGTGAGGCACGGTGGAGGGAGAATGACAGGACTTGACACATTCTGTATGGAGGGGCAAGGAGACCCTTCGGGTCTGGATCCCACCCCCTGGAGCAGGTGGGGTTTCCAGGGTACAGCAGGCCATGTGACTCCAGTGTTCTTCCCCTACCCCCAGAGGCAGGAAGGTGGAAGCCCATCGAGGCCAAGAGACACACACACCTTCTGGGGTGAGTGTCCTCCTTTGGCCACCTCTCCAGAAGGCCTGGCCACGCCTGCAGTCAGGCGAGGGCCGGCAGGAGAAGAGACAGCTGGACTTACGGTTGGGGTCACAGAGGAGACCCTTCATGGCATGCAGGTACTCGCGGCCCAGCCATGCCTCATAGGTCTGCGTGGCAATGGGCACCAGCTCGGAGGTGGTGTCTTTGAACAGCAGGTTCTTCTGGCCGTAGGCCTCAGAGCTGAACATCTGGAAGCTGCTGCCCTCATGGCTGAACAGGCGCTGTGTGTCAAGGGGTCGGGGTGTGGACTGGTGAGCAGCTGCAGGGGCGAATCCTTTCCTCCCAGTTCAGCCACCACTTCCTTCTTCCTGGGCTCTCAGGCCAGGTGCCCACTCTGAGGACCAGGGGGGGTGCCACCTCCCTCCTTGCCCTGTGCTCCCCCGGTGCATTCTGCCTTCTCATACTCAGCCGGTTGAACACGTGGCTCGTGGCCCAGGTGTGCGATGGTACTCAGCACAAGCAATGGGGCTGGGCATCGGTGGTATGGATGAACAAAACTAACTAAAGCTGGTGTGGCCCACGGGCAGAAACTTGCTGCTCTTGTAAGCAGCGGTTTCAGCAAAACATTATTCACCACACTTAATTAATGGTATACTTTGACATTTATTGGTTTTGTCATTTTGTTTATTTGCTCATATGTTCTGATTTTGGTTTTAAGAGCCACAGTACCAGGAGCTTTCTCTATGGGGTGCCTGAGCCCCCTGGTCTCCCCACTCTGGCCAGCCCTCCTCGCTGCCAGCTGGCACAGTTGGTCCCTTCTTCACTCTGAGTTGGCCTGAGGTTGAACGCCCCAGAGGTCTGGCTCCCCAGCTGGGGTCTGTCCCAGGGCAGGGCCTCGGGGTCCTTGCCCTCCTAGTCTGGCTGGCCCAGCCCCAGGATGGCTCTGAGCTCCAACCCCAGTGAGAGACGAGAAGGTCCAGCATCGCTCTGAGAAACTGTGTGGGGTGCCCTGAACTCACCTGGCCTTCGTTGAGCAGCCGGAAGATGAGACCCCCATCTGTGTCGGCCCGGACCACCACGGCATGAGCAGGCACCCGAGCCAGGTGGCATCGCCTCCATTCAGTGACATCAGCCCGGCTGCCATCCCGGCACAGCAGCTCGAAGTTCTGTGACAGCAGCGTCTGGCCCCAGGAGGGCAGGGTTTTCCCTGGGAGGATGAGAATCCTGTGGTGAGCCAACTCCTGTCCTGGGTGGGGCTTGGTGGGGACATCAGGGAGGACCCTTGAGAGGGAGCCTGGGGAGAGCTTAGGGTTTCATGGCCACAGACCCACAGTGAAAAGAAACCCTTACGGGAGGTGAGAACCAGAACCACACCAAGAAGTGAGAACCCAGAACCACACCAGGAGGTGAGACCAGAACTGAGAATGAAGAGGAGCTTGGTGGCTGCACCGCACAAAACCAGGTGTCTCTGTGGACTGTGTCTATTTACTTACCTTTTTTATTTGTCACCAATTTCTAGTAATAAAATGGATTTGAGATCTCTGACAATAACACAATATATATAAGCAGAACTGCTCCTTAAAGGTAAAAAGAGTAAGAAAGTAAGAGAAGCTTAGGATGAGAGAAATGTGTCAGTTCACCACTGCCGTCTGGCACTAAATTTAGCCCTGAGCAGAGGGCAGGGGACGGGGGGGGCCATGGTGGAAACAAACCCCGACAATTCACCAGAACCGTGGCCCAGACAGAAGAGGGTGAATTCCCAAAGCTTCAGCCACAACTCCAGCTATTAATACTTTGGTATTTTTCCTCCATGTCCTTTTTTCTATTCTAACTATTTTAAATATGGTTAAGGACATACATGATAGGCAATTTTGCATCCTACTTATTTAAAAATATTTTTCCACATTACTGGAAGCTTTCCATAAAACTCATTTATAAGAGTGAATATCAACACCAAATAGGAATATTAAGAAGACAAATTTCAAGGATTGTAACTCATGCAATAAGACATACCACAGATGGCCCTACATAACAATATTTTAATGACTTTTAAATTTTAAAATGAGTAGGATAAACCTCTGCTAGAAAATAGGAGGGAAAAAGATAATTTGTGGGATCATGAACACTCTATTCACTATTTAAAAATAAACCAGAAAACCAAGAGAGTAATAGTTTGGAAAAGTCTATAAAGGTCATTTTTAATGACTGCATGATAATTTATAGCATTCTCAACAATTACTCAGTGTCATTCTCTCCCCACTCCCCAACTTTCCTCTATTTACAAACTGCTGCAAAACCTTTGCAATAGAGCTCCAAGGGATCATTTGGCCTTCCCTCCAGACAAATGCATCATTTAGGTATTTCGATCTGCCACTCCTGTTTTTCTTCACTAGGGACAATTAAAACCATATTATTTCACTACTTTGAACATTTATGGCAATTCCAGTCTTTTGCTCTTACCAACCTTTTTGCCTAAAGACAACTCATTAAAAAAATTACTTCCTTAGGTTTCCTTAGACTATCCTCAACATTTTAAAAGAGATGGGTTTAACCCAATACACCCCTAATTCTTTCTCCATCTTCCAAATTCTCATTTGCTTGACTCATCATAGGATCGTCCTGCTCTGAAGACAATCCTGTCTCCTTTTTCAGATCAGGTTTTTCTCAAATCTGGTTCATGTTGTTTGCCTTCCTGAATGTCAGACTACATGATGGACCTTCTGATTTAAAAGGAAAGATTAACAAAAAAAAAGAGATAATGATTCTTTAAAAAAGACAATGATCAGGGCTTCCCTGGTGGTGCAGTGGTTGAGAGTCCGCCTGCCGATGCAGGGGACACGGGTTCGTGCCCCGGTTCGGGAAGATCCCACATGCCGCGGAGCGGCTGGGCCCGTGAGCCATGGCCACTGAGCCTGCACGTCCAGAGCCTGTGCTCCGCAACGGGAGAGGCCACAACAGTGAGAGAGGCCCGTGTACCGCAAAAAAAAAAAAAAAAAAAAAAAAAAAAAAAGAAAGACAATGATCAGACATTATGGAACAGGCAAAACTGTAGAGACAAAAGTCTGACTGGTGGGCATCAGGGAGGAGGTTGGAAGGGATTGACCAGAAAGGGGTATGAAGGAACTTTTGGGGTGAAAGGTCTGCCACAGTCACCATCTTGATTGTGGTGGTGGTTATACAACAGTACGTTTTTGGCAAAACTCATAGAACCAGTACTTCGAAAAGGGTGCATTTTGCTGTACGTAAATTATACCTCGATTAAAAAAAACTAGAAGATTCTTAGGCAAATCCAAATTAGGGTACATTCTATAAAATAACCGACCTGACTCTTCAAAAATGTCAATGTCACTAAAAACAAAGATTGAGAAACTGTTTGAAGTTAAAGGAAACTAAAGCAACCTAAAAGCTAAATACCATGTGTGATCAAATATCAGGCCCTGGCCTGAAAAAATTGCTGCGAAGGACAGAATTGGGACAATTAGTGAATCTGGAACATGGACTGTAGCTTAAATATTGTGTCAGTGTCACATTTCCTGAATTTGGTAACTGCACTGTGGTGAGGTCCACATCACCTTGCTCTTAGGAGACATGTACTAAAGTATTAAAGGGTGTGATGTGGGCAAGCATATTCTCAGATGGTTCGGAAAGACACACACGTACAGAAAGAATGATCAGTTCCACGTGGCAAATACTCAAAGCTGGAATCTGGATAAAGAATAAATGTGGGTTCTTTGAATTATTCTTGCAACTTTTCTAAAGCTCAGTTATTTCAAAATCTAAAAAATTTTAAATGACAATGGTATAATGGATCAACACCTAACACCAACCCATCTTTTAACAAGTCCTCGCCCAGGGATAAGGGATGGCTTCTTCAGGAAAAGGAACAAAGGCTGGAAGGGACAGTAGATGACAGCTAGTGCAGAGATTTGCAAACTTTTTTTCTTCAAAAGCAGAATCTTCACACGGAAACGGAACCCAAGGCCAGAAATGTATCAGAGCGGGGCAGAGCAGCTCAGCCAGTTCCCTTGCCCACAGAGCAGCTGAGCTCCATCGGTGAGCCCCACCTCTTTCTTTCTGTCAGGGAGGGTTATGGGCCCTGAGATCCGCGGCTGGGGGCAGCCCCTCCACTCACCGTCTGTGTTCTCCAGCACTGTGCTGTGCTTCACAAAGGCCACGTCCCCGGCCCCTTCTGCCAGGCACCTGCACAGGTGGAACCAATGAGCTGCCATCCTCCACCTGGGGAGGTCTGGCCTGGGCATGGGGGGTGGGGTCATGGAAGGCACGGGTTTCACAGTCATGCTGTCCTGGGTTCCAGTTCCCCAGTTTGTTGGCTGTGTGGTTTTGGCAAGTTGTGAAGCCCTCCTAGCCTCTATCGCCTGTAAAGTGGGGATGAGAAAGTGGCTCCCGTAGGGAGAGACCCTTTGTAATCTGTATAGATCCTGTACAGCTGAGCTTGGGGCCTGAAAGAAGCAGGTGATCATATGGCAGCTGCTTGATCAGCAGCCTTAACACTCAGGATGTGTTGAAGATGACTCCTGAGGTCATACCAAAAACCCTGAGTGGAAGCGACAAGGATTTTGTGGATCCCCTATCTGTCACTGCCCAGTGACGGAGGCAGGTCAGGGCCTACTAGGCAAAGGGGCTGCCTGGGTCCCTACAGCCAGCAAACAAGCAGGGACTGGACACCAGGAGAGATGGGGTGGGTGAGAGTCTATGGCTTGGAGGACCAAGAACTGTTTTTCTCTCTGTGCCCCAAACTGCATTTCCCTTATTACATCCTGGGGCATGGGGCCCCAGCAGGCTCTCGGGTTTCAGGTGGAAACACTGTGTCCAGGGCCGTCAGAGGGACCTGGGAGACTCCCATGCCAGCCCCCATCGAGTGTTTCCTCCTTTGTGGACAGATGGAAGTGCACCACAAGCAGTTAGAGACTCTCTTGTCTCCATGGAGGGCTGCTCTAAAGTGCCAACCTGAACAGGGGCAGAGAGAGGCCAGCCCTGAGCATCAAGCCTTGGGGGTCCCCCCCATGCTCCCCCACTCCAGCATCCTCCCTCCAGGTCTCAGACACCAGAACGGGGACCTGGGAGCAGCCAAAGGCTGTTTTGGCCATTTTCTTCTCTCTGAGCCCTTACTTCTCTAAATATACCAAACATGTTGATTTTATGAGCAAATCCCGCCTGGCATATACCAGTTTGAGGTTTTTAAACTAACCAGGCACATGGACTATATAAAGCGTGCTTTGATGAGAGGCAGCTGACATCGCCACTCTCCCAGGGGCCCTCCCTGTGCCGAGGTGTTTTTCCCCTGTGCTTGTGGCCCCATCCCAGCCCCTCTCACCGGAAGGCCCCGCTGTAGTCATAGTATCTCTCCAGGGGGCTCTTGTCACACACCCCTTCCCCAGCGGTGTTGCCCCGGCAGAGTCGACAGAGGGACTCTGAGTAACTGGTCTCTCCTGCCCCGGGGACGCAGCTGCCCCCAAAATAGTCGCTGACAGCTGTGGGAAAGAGACAGAAGGGGTCAGTCAGTCACACAGCATCAGACCCTGCCCCATCCTCCAGAGAGTGCTCAGGCCACTCGGGTTGGAGTCAGGAGGGCTGGGCTCCCCAACTCCCCAGGCTTCAGTCTGAGCAAAACTGCAGCGCTGGATCTGCTCAGTGGTTCCCAGACGGGGGCCACAAAAGTGTGGGCGTCGGAGAGTGGCTGCTGTTATTTAAAAATGGCTCAGGGGGATAAAATGTTTACCCCCAAATGGCCACACAGGACAACTATCAACCAGATAGTATTCTCATTGAGGGTTTCATTTCAGAAGGAGTTATGTGTAATCAGTGAAAGTAGGGAAATAAATGATTACTTAAAGAGTATAATTAATTTTATAGACTACACTTCTCAAAACACAGGGAGGGGAGGGAAACAGCAGAGAAGGAGGCCTGGCTGGGGACAAATTCAGGATCTGCAGGATTCTGGGGCCCTTGCCAGCACCCAGGCCCCGAGTCCACCCTCCTGGCAAATATTTATCCTGCGCCCAAGGACCCCCTAGTGCCACGTAGGGTGAGCCAGTTGCATTGTGCTCGGCTAAACCAAGCTCTTCCAGGGCAGGTTCCTTTCTTGGTCTTTCTGCATCCTTGCAGGGGAGTGGATATTTAATAAATGTGCCAAATGACTGGTAAACCTCCCACAGCTGGGCGCCGTCTGAGAGGACATGGCTTCCAGGCCCTTGTGCGCGGTGCTGTACGGGGGTAGAGTATCCACGTGTATGTGTGTGTGCAGGTGGGGGCAGCATGCATGTGTGTAGTGTGTGGGTCTGTGCCTGCATGGATGGGTGTGCCCACATACGCATGCACATATGCACATGTGTATGTGCATGTGTGGGTTTGTGCTTGTGTGTATGCATCACGTGTGTGTGCACCACAGTGACCGGGAGGGAGGGAAGCTGAGCTCATAATAACAGCAGGTCCCTGCAGTGAGCACAGCCCCTGTGCTGTGCATTCTGCAAAGATGTTGTGGAGATTACCCCAGTCCTCCCAATGCCACAGCATTGGAGTGTTAATTTCCCCATTTTACAGGTGAGGAAACTGAAGTTCAGTGTGTAGAGTAGTCTTTCTGAGGGCAGGTCATGCTGAGCCAGGGTGTAAACTCACATGTACCCACAGCAAAGTCTGGGCTCTGAAAGACCAGGTGCTTGCCTATGTGCGGAGCAAACCAGGAAGCGGCACACTCAGGAACAAGGGTTTGGGGATGCCTGAAACTCTCCTCAAGGGGTGGTGTGGTCCCAAGAGGGCAGTTTGAGAAGGTGGTCATGTGTCAGGGGCCACCTCAGACTGACACAGCTGGTGGCCAGCGGGTGACCAGGAAAAGGGGCCCAAAGCATGGGCCTCTGTCCAGGTCACCAGAACCAGGGCTCTGGGTTCCCAGCCAGGTCCCCTCAGCACCTCCTGCCCTCGCTCAACTTTCACGGGGCACATGCTGTTTGCAGGATGGTCCTATTCTCACCACCTGCAAATCAATGGCGGGTCTCTGATTAGCCACTTGTGAGCTTTCTGGGCGCAAGTCCGCAGCTTGTTTGGGTCCTGAAAAAATACGGCTTCTGACCCTGTAAAGCTAAGGACACATTCGTGGCAATGGCAACCATGTCTACACCAGGTGAGAGGTGCTCCTGGGCGATTCGCCGCCTCCCGTGGGGTGGGCCTGCAGGGCCTGTGCTTGGCTGTGCCGGGGGCCCCGGGAGGAGTGAGTGAGGGTTGAGTGCCTGGAGGAGACAGCCAGGCAGAAATGTAAGTGGGGGCAGCAGCAGGCTGGCCAGCGGACAGGAGGGAGTCATGCCATTGACGAGGGGTCCGGGGAGGCCCAGGGGAGGCAGGAGGCTCAGTGAAGGTGAGTCTGGAGGGAGGCTGTCCCACGAGGGGAAACGCAGAGCCCCTGCGGGAGAAGCCGCTGGCGGTCAAGCCCTCACCTTTGAGCACGTCGCAGCCCATCACCGAGAGGCGGCCACTCTCCACCAGGTAGCCCACAGGCACGTTCCAGCCCACCGTCCGGTTGATGCCCGTGTGGCAGGACGGCACGCCTTTCAGGGTGTTGATGGTCACGTGGGAGCCTCTCTTCACCACAGCCACGGCATAATAGGAGGTACCGACCTCTAGGAGGAGGGGAGAGGAGTGAGGGCGGGAAGGAGGCTGAGACCCTGCCCGGCAAGGCTGTGGGAGAAGGGTGCGAGGGTGTGCACGGATGCATGTGTGTACACGTGCACGTATGTGGATGTGCACCTGCGTGCGTGCATGGCATTCCAGTACCAAGAGAGCAAGTGGGTGCAATCCACGTGTTGTATCACAAGACCCCACCCCCTCCAGCCTCTGCGGTAGCTATTATCTTGAGATGTTGATTCATTCATTAATTTCCCCCTTGTCCTTCCCGAGCCAGCTGGCACTCAGCTGGGTCTACATTTGCACACATCCAGGGAGCTCTGTAGCCAGACCAAAAGCAGAAGTAGCCTGCAAGTCTTTCGTCTTCCAGAAGTCTAGCCCCTTAGGAGAACTTAGAGGATGTGAGGGGATGGTATCACGTTATGGGAAGAAAGAGTGGTTGGGAGCAGGGCAGGGACTTCCCTCAGATTAGAGAAAGTGATTTCTCAGCGCTGGGCCAGGGACGCAGGGGTAGAGAGAGAGACAGACACACAGACACTCACACACACAGAGAAGGAGAGAGACATGAACGATTTGGTCCCAGATCACTCAAGGCCCGAATGGGGTGCATGTGGGTGGCGAGGGTCTACAGCCTTGCAAAAGATTCCCCTGGGCCAGAGGTCGCCTGGAAGAGGCCATTCAGACAAGACAGGGATGACTCCTCTATGGGACTGATGACCAGAGGGCATCCATCACACACAGACATGTACACGACTGCCCGGGGGCGGTCCGATGCCCATGATCATAACGAAGCTGAGTCCTAGAAAAACAAGCCAGTGTTATTTCTTGCACCCCTGAGCCTGGCCCCTGTCAACCTAAGCAGCCTGTCTGGTCCCACCCTCTGACTCCCCACTCTCTTTCTAGTTTCTTGAACTCACCAAGCTCTTTTCTACTTGGGACACTTTTCAGAGTGCAACTTTTTTTTTTTTTTTTTTTGCGGTACGCGGGCCTCTCACTGTTGTGGCCTCTCCCGTTGCGGAGCACAGGCTCCGGACACGCAGGCTCAGCGGCCGTGGCTCACGGGCCCAGCCGCTCCGCGGCATGTGGGAACTTCCCGGACCGGGGCACGAACCCGTGTCCCCTGCATCGGCAGGCGGACTCTCAACCACTGCGCCACCAGGGAAGCCCCAGAGTGCAACTTTAATGTCACCTCTCCAGACAAGCCCTCCTGTCTGCTCTATTTTAGCCGGTCTTCCACAGCCCTTATCTTCTCCCTCATGGCCTTTCCTTCCTAAACAGCACCCAGCACAGTTTTTGGTGTTTATTTACTATGTGACTCTTGCTCTTTGAGGGCAGGAATGGGTTCTCTTGCTTACTACTCTATGCTCATGACTGGCATGTAGTAGGTGCTCAATGAATGTGCTGAATTAATTAAAAAGGAAGAGCTGTGTTTGGGGCCCACGAGGCAGGGCTGTTTCTGGTCATTGAGTGGAAAGCCTGGCTGGTTTGCAGGGTTGGACTGTGTCCTGTGTCATCTGACAGTCATCAGTTCAACAGGTGACCAAGCGAGGCCCTGTGCTGGGTACCAGGCACCAGGGGTATACAAGGATGAAGACCAGGCTTGCCTCAGGGGACTCACTGTGGTGAGGACAAAAAAAACAGAGGGGAAAGGACCTTGTGGAGTGAGTCAGTGCTCTGGAAAGCAGGAAAGAGAGGCCCTCTGCAGGGGTGGGAGGGCTCAGGGGAGCTCTTTGGAGGTGACAGCTAAGCTGGGCTGTGGCAGACGCTATGCACTGGACAGGTAGAGGTGAGGGATGGGTCTCCAAAGGGCAGGCTGTGCCAGAGGCATGTCTGGTGTGAGTGCAGGGCTGGGGCAAAGAAACGCACATTTCTGAGCACACACCATGTGTCAGGTGCACACAGACCGGCTCATTTAATCCATGTGACAGAGCAGGGACCACTATCCTGATTTTATGGTCAAGGAAGTGGAAGTTGTTCAAGGTCACACAAGATGACAGGAAGGGGCAGAACTGGGATTCCTTCTTGGTCTGTGGGGCTCTGCAGCTCCTAGTCACCACTTCCTGTCTGGCCCTATCCCCACTCCACGCTGCATGTGACAGAGGGTACTGGAGAGTGCGGGGAGCTGGGCATCACTGATGCCTCGTTCACCTGGCAATCATGCCCCGCACTACTCCAGGCATGGGGTAGCCCCTCAGTAAGAGCTTGTGGGTGACGGTTAGGGGGCTGCTGGGCTCCCCATGAGGAAGAAAAAACTCAGGTCAGCCCTTCGTGTCTCTGGCATCCCCGGCTCTGGGGACAGGACTACTGACCAGCTAGGGGGCTGCAGGGTCGGGCTGGGCCCAGCAAGGACATACTGCTGAGTGACCTCCTCTCTCCTTCCAGCCCCCTCCCACTTGGCCCTCTGACCTTGGTCATACACCTCGCCCACCACGGGCTTCAGGCCGTGCTCCTTCCCCGCCTCGTAAATGGCTCCTCCATCCAGAGTGATGGCATCAGCTTCCCGGGCCTGCTGGGAACGGGTGGGTCAGTGCAGCCTGGCCCTAGGGGCACTCAGCCAGGAGCTCAGGGACACCTGCTCAGGGCCCCTTGAAAAGCCCTGGAGGTCCACGTGGTCATCATCATCTGGCCTGGGAGCACTGTCTTGACTCAGCCTCTCAGGCCCCTCCCTGCCAGGGCCTAGGTGTCTCCCCCGACCAGGACCAAGGGCTCACCTTGTTTTTATAATTATGTTATTTAAAAAATATTAATTTTATAGGACTACACATAGTTAAAAATCAGATAGCACAAAATGAAAAGTAGTGAAAAGTGAGCCTCCCTTACCTTCTTGTTCCTCAACCCCCTGCCTCTGCTACTAGCCTGTTTCTTGGGTTTTCTCTCTAAGATGCAGATTGAATCCTACAAATATCCTCTTCAATTGTTTCCTTTTTGTTTTAAAACCCAAATGGGGCCACCGGTGAAACTGATACTTCAGCATAATTGGTCTCCACCCTCACGGGGGAGCCTGGCCCAAGCCCTTGGCCACATGGATTGTGACTGGATTAGCTCTGGGGATGCACCAGGGGCTAAGCTGGAATGAAAACCCGGGTCCCCTTGTGTTTGCCCCTGATGCTTCTCTCCACACCTTGTCCTGTACTGAAGTCCTGCCTCTTAATTGAGTCCGTGCCAGTTAGCAGATCTCCTGCCCCTCAGAACAGCTCTCCCACCCACCATGCACCCACCCAGGACTGCTGGCCCTGTTCCTCCTGCCCCAGAAAACACACAAGGCCAGTTCTGGAAAACTCCAAGGAGGAGTGAGTAACTGCCATGGGCCATGGAGGGGTCTGCTGTCTGGGCTCCCCTGGGTGGGGTGGGTCATGTCCCCCATGTAGAGGGGCTCTGTGCAGGGAAACTCTGCCTCTCAGACACCTTTCCCCACCGGTGCCCTGAGCAGGGCCCTCCCTGGGCCTCCCAGCGCCTGGGCAGGAAACAAGCTGGTCCTTGTTGCGGGGGAAACTCAGGAGATCCTATCGAAGGGCCCTGGCGGTGGGGAGGATTCCGGAGCCTTTCCTGGTGAATGAGGCTATTGTGCGCTCCCTCCTGAGTCAGAGCCCTCTGTCTGTGCAGAGCGGAAGGGAGAGGACTCACCGTGATGAGCTGGAGGCAGTGGTCAGCTGAGGTGCCCTGGACGCACAGGAGGGAGGGCTGGATGCTGGCTTCCTGGAAGGCCTTGCTCATGTCACTGCACTTCTGCTGCTCCGGGTCTGAGATGGTGCACCATCGCACCTCCATCCCTCCGAGTGCTGGGGACAGCGGGGC